GTAGAACCAGACCACAGAACCACAGAACCATAGAACCACAGAACCACAGAACCAGACCACAGAACCATAGAACCAGACCACAGAACCACAGAACCATAAAATCATAGAAGCATAGAACCATAGAACCATAGAAGCACAGAACCATAAAAGCACAGAACAATAGTACCACAGACCCATAGAACCCATCCATCCATCTTCTTTACCCGTTTATTCCATTTTGGGTCACGGGGGTCGCTGGCGCCCATGTCCAGCAATCACTGTGCGAGGGGCGGGGTACACCCTGGACGGGTCGCAAGTCCATCACAGGGACACATAGAGACAAACGAGACAAACAACCATTCACTCTCTCACTCACACCTAGGGACAATTTAGAGTTACCAATCAGCCTAACATGCATGTTTTTGGACTGTGGGAGGAAACCGGAGTACCCGGAGAAAACCCACGCATGCACGGAGAGAACATGCAAACTCCACCCAGAAAGGCCCCTGGACCGGGGTTTGAACCAAGGACCTGCTCGCTGAGAGGCAGCAGCTCTACCAGTTGCGCCACCGTGCTGCACCCATAGAACCACAGAACCATAAAAGCAAATAACCATAGAACCATAGAACCACAGAACTAGACCACAGAACCATAGAACCGAACCACAGAATCATAGAACCAGACCACAGAACCAGACCGAACACTGCCTCTGATCCACTGAACTGTTTCATGCAGACAAACGGACCTCAAAGCGTCCAGAACCTTTAAAGTAGAAACAAAACCATGAATCTTTTCTGATCCCGAGATTTATTTAAAGTTACATTTTTAAAAATAAAAACTGTAAAGGCACACACACAAACAAACAAACAAACAAACAAACACACAAACAAACAAACACACACACACCTGCTTTCCTCTCAGCTGCTCTCCAAACTGTTCAGATCCACTGACAGCTCATTGTGTCTCTCTGTCTCTGTTTTTGTCTTTGTCTCTGTGTCTTTGTCTCACTGTCTTTGTCTCACTGTCTCACTGTCTCTGTGTCTTTGTCTCACTCTCTCTGTCTCTGTGTCTTTGTCTCACTCTCTCTGTCTCTGTGTCTTTGTCTCACTGTCTTTTTGGGCCTCTTTTTTGTCTCTCTGTGTCTCTGTCTCTGTGCTCTTCAATGAACAGGATCAGTTTTAAATGAGACATTTGGCAGTAAAGACACTGAACTCAACGTCGCTGGAGCCGGGCTCACGATCTGCAGAACTTTTTATCACTGACTTTAAAACAACAAAAGATGTTCCCTTCAGGTCGATCGTTCCCTGAAACTTTCTGCTCATCTGGACGAGAACAAACACGACTAATGTGACTTTAACCAGCTGCTGATTATACGTGGTAATAACGACCAAATACCTTCATTAGTTAAAGTTTTAACCACCGTCGTGTCTGGACTTCAAGGTCAAAGCTCAGGACTTCAAGGTCAAAGCTCAGGACTTGGTAGAACTCCGACTACAACTGTGGACTCGTGTAAATGTTGGAGTCAGTAAAACTCAGAAACAGATCTGAGGCCAGCTGTGATGGTCAGCTATCTTCACATCAGCAAGGCCTCCCGGACCAATTGGTTACCGTTGCTATGGAAACTGAATAAAGTCTAAGGATGGTATTTTTAAACGTGACAGCTCCGAACTTCTACCCACTAACATGCAGGGAGTTACTCAGGGCCTGGACAGTGTTGTATCCTATGTTAGCTGAATCATGGTGGCATGCCTCCAGCCGGATCCACCAGTTGCTTCTTTCAGTCTGTGACGGCAGCTGCCTCGGCCCGGCCCAGCGCTCTTCTGTCATCTGGCCCAGTGAGATTCCACCGAAGGGGGCAGAGGAGCTATATTTAGAGTGGGCAGGATTAAATTGCTCTGTCTTCACACCGGGAACCTTTTCTCTGCTCAGCCTTTTCCAGCCAGGACCGACAGTCAAAAGGACTCTTGGCGACCATCTCCTTTGTCCGAAGACCTCCACTGTCCACCTGCCGTGACCGCTCCCGACTCGATATGGACCCCAACGCCATCAAGGAGGAGCTGCGCTTGTTTCAGAGCACTCTGCTCCAAGACGGCTTAAAAGAGCTTCTGAATGAGAATAAGTTTGTGGACTGCACCCTGAAGGTGGGTGACCGCTGCTTCCCCTGCCACCGGCTGATCATGGCCGCCTGCAGTCCTTACTTCAGGGATATCTTTTTCACAGAGGATGGGAAGGAGGTGGAGAACACCAAAGAAGTGGTCCTGGAGGATATTAACCCCTCCATCTTGGACATGATTATTCAGTACCTCTACTCTGCTGAAATAGACCTTACAGATGACAATGTTCAGGATATTATTGCCGTGGCCAACAGATTCCAGATCCCCTCTGTCTTCACGGTTTGCGTTAACTACCTTCAGAAGAAGCTGTCGCTGGCTAACTGCATGGCCATTTTCAGAATGGGCCTGGTGCTCAGCTGTCCAAGGCTCGCTGTAGCTGCACGCAACTTCATCGCAGATCGCTTTGAGCTCCTCAATAAGGATGAGGAGTTCCTCAAGCTGGCGCCCCATGAACTGTTCGCTGTCATCGGTGGAGATTCTCTGAACGTGGAGAAAGAGGAGATGGTATTTGAGGCGGTCATGGCCTGGGTCCGCCATGACAAGGAGAAGCGTCTTAAGGTCCTGAAGGATGCTTTCAACTGCATCCGCTTCCGCCTGCTGCCAGAGAAGTACTTCAAGGAAAAAGTGGAGACTCACGAATTCGTCAAGAGTGACCCGGAGCTCCAGACAACAATCCAGGCCATCAGGGACGCCTACAAGGGAAAACTTCCAGAGACACCCAAGAAAAAAGAAGGTGAGGAGGGAGCCAGCATGGAAGGAGGTGAGGAGGAGGACAGTCCATTCCCTGGCTTCCTGAATGACATCCGCCGACATGGTATGCACGCTCGTGACTTTATCGTGATGATCAATGACACGGCCGCGGTAGCGTACGATGTCATCGAGAACGAGTGTTTCCTGGCCGCCATGGCGGAGCAGGTGCCTCGTAACCACGTTAGTCTGGTGACGCAAAAGAACCAGCTCTACATCGTCGGAGGACTGTTTGTGGACGAGGACAACAAGGACATGCCTTTACAATGCTACTTCTATCTGGTGAGCAAATGTCCACGTTGGGAAATATTTGTGAGTTTTACACGAGTTTTTAACAGATACGTAATGTTCGAGATAAAAGCCAAACGACTGTTAGCTAACGCTAACCTCCAAGTGAGGGTCGGACCAGATTTTATTGGGTTCCAGTTTATTTTCAGAACAGCTCAGCTCGGAGAGTCTGGCTAGCTCTTATTAGCATTACAAGCTAACAACAAATCCCGCCGGATCTCGTTAAACTGCAGTAGTGCGCAGTAAGAGTTTGACCAATATTTCGGCACTGGAGTGTGACTCCGCAGCGTCCACACAAGGCAGCCATGTTGGGACTTGAAGTCGAGGCTGGTGAAGTTTTCCAAACTAAATTCTTGACTCAGAGTCTCAGAGAATTCCCTGAGAATTATTGGATTTGGTACCTGGATGGTTGGGCATGAACTTTGTTGCCTTGAACCACTTTGGCTGTGGCCGCCTGTCTGGGAGGAGTCAACGGGGGACAGGACGGCCCCCAGAAACCATCTTAGCTCCAGAAAACTGGTTGGTCCATTTAAGGAGTTCATTGCTTGGTGAGGAAACAGTTTGTTGGAACTTCTCTGACTGATGAAGCCCTCCGGATAGAGGGCGAAACGTCTCTATAAAAAAATAAACTGTCCAGATGACCCGACTGAGAATTACTGACCGTTAGAGGCATTCTCGTTTCTTCTTCTGACCTAGAAACAGATTTCTGAGTTTAAATGAATTTAATTTCAACGTTGGCCCAGAAAACAGCTAGAATCGCCATTTTGTTTTACCGACACAGCTCCCGAGGGCGAGCGTTTTGTTTTCTGAATCACTGCAAGTTACAAAAGTAAATAATAAAAACTATTCCCAGTCGAGATGAACATTTCTACATGAGTGGTTAAAATGCACAAAGTCTTCAGAGTAGTTCGTAAAAAACAATAAACTGGAACATTTCGTGCTGAAATTACGTTTCAACGTTTAATTAAAGAAAAGCAACAAAATCGTTTGATCAGATGAACTCTGCTTTAATGGAGACGCCATCTTTGTTTTCTCTCACTGAAGTTGGACCCGCTCTCATCGGAGTGGGTTGCCCTTCCACCCATGCCGTCTCCGAGGTGCCTCTTCAACATCGGCGAGAGCGAGAACCGGCTGTTCGTCGTGGCGGGAAAAGACCTCCAGACCAACGAGTCGCTGGACACCGTCATGTGCTTCGACACCGAGTCAGTCCTCGCCTTTCTTATCTCAGTAAACACGTAAAATGTCTGAAGTACCCTTTAGATGTGGACCACAGTGAAGATAACCAAAGTTTCCGGTAAACCTGCCGCACATCACCGTACTCTACGGTTGTTTTTAATCCATTCTGCTCAGGTCTCTTATTTTCTTTATCAATCTGTTAATGAGTCTCAGTAACGATGTTTGTTTGGTCGTTTTGAATCAAACTGGACTCGTATCGAGTCGTGATTGATTCACATTGACCAAACGAGCAAACATGGCCGACCAAACCATGTGTTGTGTTGAAATTGTATTTGTCTTCAGGAAGATGAAGTGGAGCGAGTCCAAAAAGCTTCCCCTAAAGATCCACGGACACTCCGTGGTCTCACACGAAGGACGGCTGTACTGCGTGGGAGGAAAGACCGACGACAAGTGAGTACACAACTGTGTGTGTCTGTGTCTTTGTGTGACTGTGTGAGTCTGTGTGCATCTGTTTGAGTCTGTTTGTGTGTCTGTGTGTGATGTTGTGAGTCTGTGTGTGAGTCTGTGTGTCTGTGTGAGTCTCTGTGTATCTGTGTGTGTCTGTGTGAGTCTCTGTGTATCTGTGTGTGTCTGTGTGAGTCCCTGTGTGTCTGTGTGAGTCTGTGTGCATCTGTTTGAGTCTGTGTGTGT